CACCCTGGGGTCCCATTGGCGGACTGCACAAGACCTCGGACGGCAATGTCCGGATCCACGATTCCTTTCCCAACCATGCCGATGGGATTCTGAAGATGGTGGGCCTGCCTGCTGGATCGAACAGACAGCAACTATCTGACAAGGTCGCCGATTGGGCCAGCGTCGACCTCGAGACGGCCGCCACGGTGGAGGGAAAGATGACGGCATATGCCCTGAGATCCTACCGCCAATGGGACGCTCTCCCACAGTCGAAAGCAATCAGCGACTTCCCTATTGACATTGTTCAACTCTCATCAGCCGGGCCTAAGGGTCTTCCGGAGAGAATGGCAGGAGGCAACTCAAAGTGTCTCCAAGGTCTCCGCGTCGTCGAAATGAGTCGAGTGATCGCCGCCCCCTTGTGCGGAAAGACGCTCGCAGCTCACGGCGCAGACGTCATCTGGGTCACTTCGCCGAACCTGCCCGACCTCCCGACCATGGATCGTGACTTTGGAAGAGGGAAGAGAACAGTCCAGCTGGATATCCACAATCCTTCTGAAAAGATCCAGCTGATCGAGTTGATCAAGACCTGCGACGTCTTTGTCCAGGGGTTCCGTCCCGGCAGTCTGGCCCGCTATGGTCTGTCGCCCGAGGAGCTGGTGAAGATCAATCCATCCATCATCATCGCCAACATGTCTGCTTTCGGGCCCCAGGGCCCCTGGTCCAACCGTCGAGGCTACGATTCGTTGGTGCAGACTTGTTCGGGCATGAATGTCTCCGAAGCAGAGCACGCCGGACAGGGAGAAGCTGCCCGTCCGACTCCCTGTCAAGCTCTGGACCACGCTGGCGGGTACTTGCTCGCAACAGGTGTTACCGCAGCACTGTACAAGAGAGCCACGGCAGGCGGATCATACAAGGTTGACGTTTCCCTCGCTGGCGTGATGAAATACCTGCGAAGCCTAGGGCAGTATCCTGAAGCTAGCGGATTTGAAGGAGTTGGTGACTACGAGAAGCCCGAGGACGTCCCCAGGGAATTTTTCGAGACCCGAAAGACAGGGTTCGGCCCCATGACAGCAATCAGACACAGTGCCCAGGTCGAAGGTTGCGAGGTTGGTTGGGATGTGATGCCGAAGCCACTAGGGTCAGATGCCGCACAATGGTTGTAATGAGTGAGAGCGCTTTGGCTTGAGCGGATCGAGACCAGTTCGTGTTTAATAAAGATCTACAAATTTGGTAAACTTGCTGCCTCAATACAACATCTTAATCAATTTGGGGTAACGTAATAATATGCCCTTGACGTCCTGTCTTCATCGGGCTTTCCCAAACCCGGTCCCAATGGGTGAACACAAACCATCCTGTTACCTGGTATTCCCAATCCAACGCCTTGCTAGTACGGATAAGGTTCCTGACTCCTTGTCCTTCGAAATCATGCATCTCGTTTCTTACGGACGAGACCGGCTCCAAGCACGTTGATTTGCGGAGCTTCCCCACCGTTCGCTGTTGCGGCCGTAGCAGTGTCTGCGGTCGCGGATTCGTCTTTGGACTTCTTTCGGATGAGCCCCGTGCTGAGGACGTTAACCTTGGTCGCCGGCTCATCCGAACTAGGAGTCGCGAAGTCCTCCGGGCGCTTGCGCTTAATAAGGCCTGAGATGACATTCACGGGGTTCGCTGAAGAGCCATTTGACGCTGGCGTTGATATCTCCTGCCTGCCCACAACCTGCATGCCCCAATCATCTCCCATGCCGACCTCACCAATCCATCGCCGCGTGCCGCTAGCCGCGATCTCTGGTTTGGCAAAGTCCAGGCGTAGGAGGAGCTCGTTGACTCGCTTGTAATCGTTCTCATCGACAATCTTGCGGCCCCTACCTTCAGCAGGCCAGTAGTAATAGGCAGTCGAGATTGGCTTGTCTAGCAGGTAGTTACGCTGTTGGGTCTTGATGCGTGGCTGTCTTGGCTTAACGACTCCCGTCAACTTGGACTTGTTCTTCTTATGTTTGTTCTTGCTCTCAGGCTTCTCGGGCTTAGTCTTCGTCTTGGTCGGTGTGCCGGAAGGTGACACGGGGAACAGCTTCCGAGGGGTCGACATGGGTGTGACGGGTCGTACCGCCTTCTGCTTGCTAGGCGTGACGGGCGGGTTGGACGCATCGAAAGAAGGGTTCGGTGTTGGGAGAGTTGCCGAGGCGCTATCATTCTGCACTGGCTCCGCCTCCTCATCAAAGACAACCCAAATGAAGCCCGTAAGACGCCCGCTGGAACATTCCTGTCTGTATGCCATCATTTCCCAGAACGTGTCCAAGCTCTTCACGCTCTTCCAGTGCCCAGTAGTCTTGATTTGCTTCGATTTGCCCGCCTCTTCGTCCAGCTCGTCTCGGAATCGGGATTTCGGATCGTCTGGGAATCGGGGAATGAGGCATCGTGCGGGCACCCAATCGTACTCCTTGGTGTAATGCGAGATCTTCTCAAGGGCGTGTCCCAGGACCCAATTGGTAGCGCTCTTTGGGGTCTTGGGCAGGAAAGCCTTGGTTTCATAATTGTCGAGGCCCGGGATGACGAGGTAGCCTTTGACAGTACCCCATGGAGCTCCCTTTCCCACGGGAGGATTCTCCAAGAGAGGGTCCAGGACTTTGCACCACCACTTCACCAGTCCTCTGTCGTCGAGCACATGCTTGCCACTGTACTCCACAGAGCCAGGGAAAAGGTATTGATCTTGAGCCCGGGCAAAGAGACTAACGATGGACTGAATGCCCCTACGCCGGCGCTGCTCGACCAGGTACGAAACAAAGGCACTGCTAATCTCCTTGATTGGCGACGAGGTGCCTTTGGGAAGGTTCAGAAGCTTCAGGTAGCCAGTTGAATCGGCCTTGGCGACGAAGAAAGTGCTGGAGTATGCAGTCGTGTAGATGAAGACCTCTAGCGCGAGGACTAGAACTTGCTTTGAGGTAATGTCATTTGCTTCTTGCGCAGCGTCGGTAGTGCTTGAGGGAATATCGATGGAAATTGCGAGGAAATGCTTCTCGCAAAAGGTCTTGTCTTCTCGTTCTTCGGGAGGAGCTGAGTAGAGGGCGTCCGTTTTGGTCGGTGGAGTTGAGAGGTGGTAGATGCCAAAGTGGTAGCCCTTGGGCAGAACAGCCGACAGTTTCTCAAGGAGAAGTGCACTGCTCTGGGCGGTGGTCTTGATTCGGCTTGGAGTCGCCATGGTGCTTGGGATGGAAGCTTCTTAGTTGGGAATTGACTCTCCCGAAGAAATTGTCATGGCATGGTTGTCAATTGACGAGAAGGCTGAAAGAGATTGGACTCGAGGGGTTGGTCAAGCAGGCTGAGCAAGCTGCAGGAGCGTCCCTTCCACTTCCTTTGAGGGACGGAACGCGTCGCAGCTCTTCACATGCGTGTCAGAAATAAGTGGAGAAACGCGTTGGGTTTAATTGAAAGGGAGCTGCGAGCATTACCTAAGCCATAGAGTAAGGTACGTACTCACCCGTGTCACCAACCTGTGCCTGTGCACCATAAGGTAAGGTAGGCACAGGGGCCGTGCTCAGCTCGTAAATCCACTAGAGCCAGTGAAGACTAGCGTCGGTCGCTGCATGATCCGCCTTCCGCGCGATGCCACGTGACGTCGAGAAATTGTTCCGAGCGTCCATCGCGAAAAAGTTCCCAGCATCAGGAGCTCGAGCTATACGACGGTACGCCCACACCAAAATCCGCACCACACCGTCGTCCCTCCCTCGCCGACCGCCCCCAATGGCAACCAACGGCTCCCGGTCAGCATATAGCCTCACGAGGCATGCCGCGAGGCATTGCCAATCGGCGGGAAACTCACGAGTCGCCTCTCCTATCCAATGCCTCTCCCGATCCTTTGCGACGACCGGCTCCCGAAAGGAGGCCGAGGCCGAGAGCAAATTCGACCAATTGTCACGGAAAACCGAAGAGGCTGAGCGGCCCGACGAGATCAGACAGCGTCCGAGATGGTCATACACTCCCGAGGGGATGAAGGCACCCTTCTCGCCTCACATTACCAAGAACCCGGCGCGCAGTGTTTGGAAGGTCAACGAGGATCCCAAGAAGCTGGATCAGATGTACGTGAAGCTTCTGGGCAGAGACGGAGACAAAATGCTGCCGGATGAGACCAAGTGGCTGGCGGTCACGCACAAGAGTTTCGACCAGGGTCGTCGGGGGTTCAACGACAAGCTGGCGTATTTGGGTAAGGATACACGACTTTGCTTCCAACCAAGCTTCACTTGCGACAATGGCATTCAATGCGATGGAAAAAAGGCACACGAAGCTGACTCGGGCCATTCGGCAAACGTATTTCAGGTAGACAGGCGGTTATTCTCGAGACCACGAACCGCATAGTGACGGGGACCGACCCCTTGAAGAAGGCAATCGTCCCGGAAAAATTGTACCAGCGGACACACTTTGAGCACCCGGCTCTCACGAGAGTCGACAACCTCAACGCCCAGCAGCCCCAAAAGCTCGTTACGAAGGAGAAGGTCGAGGCGTTGGCGCTCGCTGCCGGTCTCGACAAGGTTTTGCGATGGAAGCCGGCAAAGGTAAGCCCAAAACTCACAACTTCCCTCTCCCGTCTCATCGGGCCCCCCTCACGAGGCGACAACACCCTCTTTTGCTCTTTTTTTCTGACAGTGTCGTTTCCAGCCCGAAAACCTTTCTGGCTCGGGCCAGCAAATTGTTCTCAACTCGGCAGTCTTTGCTATCGTCGGAGCCATCACCCTGCAGCACGGCGCCGAAGTGGCAGGTAGAGTGATCAGGGACAGAATATTGAGACCACTCTCGGCGAATCGGTAAAGCCGTAGAAGAGAGACGTCTGTTGTATCATAGGTGTAAAACATTTGACAAAAAGGACATCAATCCCAGCTGCGGCGCAAGAGAGGCAGCGAAAGCAATATTTTACTCGTTTTCCCACAGTCATGACGCTGTGCTGTCGGCGGACCGCGCATACCAAATGTAACAAGAAGATCAGAGATGAACGAATATAGAAGTATATCCCAATGTGGAAGACGCTTTGCCACTCAACTTACTTTGGATTCCCTAATGGGACCCGTGGTGAGGTGCATGACATGGGAGACGGCGCAGTCCGGGGGTTGCCAGGCGATCCTGATGACCCAGCCATCGGTCGTCGAGTGGAGGGCCCAGGCGAGCTCCCCATCGCGGATACGGGTGGTCATTTCCATCGTGACGAGGTTATTCACAACCGATTGGTCGACGCCTTTGCCAAAGACCAGCGCCTTTCGGACCATACTGTTGTTTGGGGTCTTTGCGGCCATCCCTGATGAGGCACGATGCCAGTCAAACGCGTGAGAGCCAAAGCTAGAGCCAGAGTCACGCAAGCTAGTAAGGCCAACATCGCCAGCCACAGCATGTACATAGCCCTCGCCGAGTGGACGGGTTATCTCAGACGTGGACCTCGTACAGAGGATAAAGGTTTTGAGGCAGGCAAAGGATTCATTCAGGGTAGCCATGCCAAAGCCGGGATCTGGATCAACCTGCCAGATGCTCTGGGGCCAGTCATTCGATCCATAGTGCGCGACCCCTCTGCCCAATGGGTCGTGGGCGAGCAGGTCGCTGGCAAGGATGGGCATAGTGAGAGACCTGGTGGCGCCCTGGTAGAGCACAAGGTCCCAGTCAGGGTTGATGTAGATCCGGTCCCACGCCGGGTTTCTATGCTTCAGATCCGGGAACCCGTGGCTGTCGGGCGCCAATGACCTCATTGGCAGCCGGATCCTGAAGAAGGACATGGCTTCGCGGCGTGACTCGTCGCACACACGAAAAAGCGCCGGGCTCCTGTTCTCGCAGTACCAGTTTGCGTTGCAGGCCATGTTGCCCAGGTCATTGCCGGAGGCCTGGACGCCCGAGCCGTCTGGTACGCCTCTGATCACGACGATGCGTGGCCGTTCTAGGTGCATGCGCCAGATCTTGCGTCGTAGCTCATAGGGCAGGTCCGGGAAGCAATGAAAGACTGGATCTCGGCCGCAACCGTAGCCACTGCTGCTGTTGCTGCTGCTGCTGCTGCTGCGGCTACTGTTGGGTACTGACGATGCTGTATCCGCAGTTGTGATCGTCGTAGTCGTCGTCGGTTCGCTTACCGAAGCGGCAACCCAGGTCCGCAAGTCGAAACCTTCACACGCCTCTAAATTCCTCCAGGGTGTCGGGGGCGTTTTCCGGACGGCGGGCGGAGCATGGATGTCCGTGGTTCGGAGGCCCCCATCTTGGTGCTCGGCCTCAAACACCTCAGCGTCATGCTCTTCTTCAGCCTGGAGAGGCGGAGGCTGACGTGATGTTGACCGAACTGGTAAATCCATCGCCTGATGTGACGAGGCAGACGCCGTTGAGTTTGATAGACTGCCAGCGTCAACGGCGTTGAGAATCGGCCTTACTGGGTCCGCAGGATCAAAGTGTCAGACAGACGCTAAGTTTCTGAAAAGTTCGGGGAACGACGCTAGCGATAGCTCAGACGACCTCTGAGCTAAGGTAAAGTGCTGCAATGTGAAATGGAAGATGCCGATGGACGACAGGATCAACTGTATCAAGATGAGAATGGGTGTATCCGTACAGCCTTAGTTTCTGTATCGTGGTGTAGCCTCGAGTGTGGGGGTGGGAGGCAATGACACTGGAAGTGGAAATAAGGGACGACGTGTGTCTGACAGTTGGAGAAGGTTCCGCGGCAGTAAAATGCGTGATGCGTTTGGGCTTCACAATACGAACGCGGACACGATGAGGTGGTTCCCCTTTTGAGTTGAAGAGACGGGGATGGTGGGAGTTGTCGATGAGTTAATAATCAGTGCCACCTTGTTCTAGAAGGGAACCTCTGCGGTCAACCAGCTGACTAAACTTCCTCTAGAGGCACCGTACTCGGCTCCGTCTTTTGTGAGGGAAAAGACCCCTTTGCAGGGAGTTACCGTTTTTGGAAATGGTTTGCGGGCAGTTTGCGAGAACTGATGGTAGAGATTCTACCAAGAGCCGGGGGCAACCAGGAAGAGGCCCGGCTGACATGTCTGGCAGTTGCATCTTAGCGCCCGAATGACGCTGTGACCCGCCAATGCCCAAGTCATTCCTTGTTGTTCATGAGTTGTGTCTGCTGGTTTTCCCCTGTCAGATTGTGTCAGATCCCATCAAGCACTCACAGACTCGACACACAAGCATGTGTCCGCCCGGCACCATCCCCATCGCCATGGCGGGAACCGTTAAGATGTGCTACATGGGTCCCTTGTCCAGACTTGTATCCTCCTCTTTGGTCATCTTGGAACGATTGCAAACAGCCTTAATCGCCATTAGGTACTCTCAGCCGGGCTACAGCTACAGTCTACGGATGATGGGCATGGCCATGAGCCAATCACCGCAGAGTCTTTGCAACTTCACACAACCGTCTGAAACCTGCAAACACTAGCATCTTCAACTGACAAGCTGCTTCTCCATCGTTTGTGGCTCCCATCCCAAACTCTGCTCATCCCCTTTTTGCCCTTCCCGGCACCACGCTACTAGTTACAACGTCCGCTTGCTAGTACCAAGTATCCTAATGAACGACTTGCCTTTTTGGGCCCGTATCTCGTATACGCATTCCCTCTCTAGTTCGCATCGCGCCGAACTACTCTGTTCAAGCTTCAACGTCTTCTACGCGGCCCTTGTCGGTACTCGGACCCGTCGAAAGCATGTTACAACAACGTAGACCTCGAGGTCGATTCAATTGAACACGACTCTCTTTTGACTTCGTTTGACACGAGTCTATGGCTTACTGTAACTTTGTAGAAACGCTCTTGGCTTCGACCTGTGCGCTCTTGAGCCGGTGAATGACAGAACTCTCGCGGCCGTAGGCTATACCCCAGCTTCTCCCCGATACTGACTACAAGTTCCTAAGATGAGTCTGCCACTTGGACGATGCGTGAAGGAAAAGGCTTGATTGACGTCGTGAGACTCGGGTCCATGGCTGCGACTCTGCCACTCCTCTCAATGATTCGGCCCCGGCTAGACATGTCTGGGATCCTCGCAAGGAGCTTCCCACCTTTCCGTGTTCCACTCCAGTCCACCCCGGTGCGGACCATGTCAGGGTCTGGGTGGAGCGGAATCCCGCCGCATATGGCAAGTGGTATCTCGAATCACCCTGAAGAGAGATCGACGCTCCATGTTTTAGGCTCGAGGGGGCCATGGTCATCGGGGCTTCTTGTATAGATACGTCCCCATTCATCTCTGGATGTTTCTACTAGATGTTCTTGGGTCTTCCATCCATCTGGTCATCCTTTATTCAGGTGTTGGCTCAAGAAACACGTCTTCGTTTCCTTCGTACATGACTGCTGGCAGCCTTTTTTTTCCACTCCAATTAACCGCCATTGATACCCCATTCTGTTTCTATTAATGTCACGGTAAATCCCCTCTTACGACTACCTATCAATCAAAGTCCATCACTCCATATCACCATGGACATGTACGACAAAATATCATCGCCTGAGGATGTTACGGAGAGACCCCAGGCTCCTCCAGGTCCACCAGCCCCAAGGCATCAGAGACTCACAACCTTTTGCATCGGGTTCTTGATGGTATTCTCCCTCTTCAGCGTCGGCAGAGAGGTCAAAGACTACTTCTACCAAGAACCTACCCTCAACAGCCGATCAACAGCAAAACGAGACCTGGGTTCTTGGGGTCAAGCTATCGACGCTATAGTAACTCCAGATACTGTCGAAGCTATCGGCAACGACCCAAGGCTAAGAAGGACATTGATGTCCATGGTCGATTACACCTTTGATCTCACAGATCAGCTAGCCGCCCGCTATGAGTCCCCTCAACTCCAGGAGACAAGAGAAGCACTACGAGAGTACAAGGAGCAGATCAGGAGGAGCCTCGAAGGGTTGAGGGACGATAAACGAGTCTCGAGTCAACTCCATAGACGACAGCTCCCAAGTCTCGGAGAACTCTTTGGAGCGGCGGTCTCTGGAGGTAGCGCCGATGGTGGTGGTGGTGGTGGTGGAGGAGGAGGCGGTGGACTTCCCAACCCTTTCGGCCTCCCACTCCCCGGGGCACCGGGTGGTTCTCCAGGCGGCGCTCCCGGAGGTGGTACGGGTCCCCTAGGCCTCCCTGGTCTTCCAACTCCAGGCGGTGGCGGTGCCGATGGAGGCGGGATGTCAGCTGGCATACTCAGTGGCCTTCTACAACCCCTGAAAGACGGCCTCAGCAACGTCGGAAACCAACTGGTCGCCAACCTCAACGGTCCGGGCATGTTCCTCGGCATCGGTGTCGGAGCCGGAGCGGCTCAGGGGCTCAACTTGTCCACACAAGCAAAGACGATGGAAGTCGCAGCAAAGGTTGCGGCAGACAACAAGATGGAGGCCACCGGTCTCAACCCTGCCATCCAGAACCTGGGCGTGGGACTAACTTCCACCCTCATCGGCGCCATCGACTTCAACAGCCTAGGCGGCAACCTCACAAATCAGCTCCAGCCCATCGCCCTGTCTCTCGCAACGGGTCTCGGAAACGGCACAGTCGCGGGTCTGAAGCTGAACGCCAACGCAGCGAACCTCGAGCCTGTAAACGATTCGTCCATCCCCAACGTCATCGGCACCTTTGGATTTGGTCTGACAAAGACCGTGACGGCCAATATTGACATCAACCAGCTTTTCAACTCGGCCAATAACCCCAACACCACGAAGCAAATCATGCGTATCCTCCCGGCCGCGGCATCGGGCTTCGGCAAGGGCCTGGGGCAGGGAGCGACGGTCGGATTGGGCCTACAGCCTGACTCTGCGGTGCCGATGCAGCAGATGCCCGACGACCAGATCGACTTTGGCGGTATCTCGCAGACGTTCGCCAAGGGTCTGACAAGCAGCTTCCTCCAGAACGGTACCGCGACCGAGTTGCTCAACAAGGTGGGCGGGTCGATGAACATGAACGGGCAGAACGGCGGAGGGATTCCGGCGACCATCAAGTTTAACGGCATGGACATCCAGGTCAGCAAGGTCGCACAGGGCTTTGCTCGCGGGTTCCTTCAGGGCGCCGGGGATGCAATCCAAGGCATGGGCGGCGTGCAGTCTCTCTTCGAGGGTAACGCCACCATGCCCACCGGCGCGATGCCCGACGCCAAGCTCCAGTTCGACGACTCGCTCGGCGGAGCTGCCAGTGGTTTTGGAGTCGGGATCGGTGGGCAGGGCGTCCTCGTCGCGTATGGACTGGCTAGCAAACCGCGAGGAAACACTCAGCCTGCCGCGAATGCGCCGGCGGCCCCAGCTGCTAGCACGCCCGCCCAACGCCGGGATGTCGAATTGGTCTCGAGACAAGATCCCCCGCCGGTGGTCTCCGTGAACACCACCGAGGGATTCAACCTATCCGTCGTGATCAACGCGCAAACCATTTCGATGGCTGCTCAAGCCGGTGTCAATGCCCTTACCTGTCAAGGCGTGGGTGGTTTGGGCCTCATTGGCTTCGGACTTATCCGCAGCAAGACCATCGCATTGGACTCCTTCAATAATGGAAACGTGACGAAGACTGCGAAGCAAGTGATTCCGACTGGGATCATCAAGGTTTCCAACGAGGGGCATTCGTATGCCATTGACGGACAGGTGATCCGGGACTCTCTTGGAAACTCGATCATAAACGCTGCCAATGGCATCGAAGTCAACGGATTCAAGCTACCAGGTTGGATCGCCTTCTTGGTTCTCCACAGTAAGTCATGCTCTGCTCGTGAATCCGCTGTTACTCAGCTAACATTCGCACCTCACTAGTCCTCTTCGCCATCATCGCTTACATCAACATCCTTCCCTTGGCCATCGGGCTGGAGCACATGCGCAACCTCCTTCTCCGCATCAACGCCCCTCCAATTCTGCCAAAGATCGAAAAATGGAACAACATCATGTGGCTATTCATCATGGGGCCTTCAGTGGTTGTTGTTCTCATATTTGGCATACTCGTAACTGCGAAGTCATCTCACTTTCGCACTGCCCACGGTGTAAGTCTTCCCCTTGGCCACATGCAATCTTGGCCCGAGCAACATCGTTTGCTAAACCACATCTCAACAGATCATAAGCCTCTTTACAACCCTGGTTGGCTTGGCAGCTTTCTTGATGCATCTCGCCATCAAGGCCCGCGCGCCTCCTGGACTCCCAAACACCTCCCGCTCCGGCCCCGCGCCACCGGCGCCCCTCCTCAGTCTCCCCAACATCCGCGTCATGGTTAACCAGCTCTTCCTGATTCTCTCGTTCGCCTCTGTCATCACCGGATTTGCTGATCTCAGCTCTGTGGCTCTATGCTTTACGCAAGTTGTTCCTTTTGATCTGGCGCTGGTCATTGGGTTTAGTCTCTCCACGGTCTTCGTCCTGGGATCCTCCGTCTCGGGACTTGACATTGCGCTTACAGTCCGAGACTTTTTGAGGCACAAGAAGGCCCTGAAAGGCGGCGATAAGACAAACGCCGCAGAAAGAGGCGCCGAGAGAGGTGTTGTCATGCAGGGCAAGATTTCTCAGCCAGCGATGGTTGACGAGAAGGGCGCATTTGCATAGCTGCCTGGCTTTTGTTTGTGTAAGCTCCAGAGACTTTGAGCTGTGCTCAGTCTTTCTGGTATTGTTTTTGTTTTTGTATTTTCATTTTGTACTGTATATAACGTACTGGCGGCGCATGGTCTTGTGGATTACCAAAACTACGGAACTTGGGACGGGGTCGCAGGTCGGAGTATGGTTTGGGATGGACCGAGACTGCATGAAGATCACATGTACTCTGATATGACGGATATGACTACAGCGGAGATACTCCTGACGACTCTATTGCTGCGGAAAACGGGGCGGCCTTGACTCTCATTATACCCAAGCTTGCTTCAGGAGGCAGGCTTTGAATTTCATACCCAATTAGCCGATTCAAAACGTCTTGCTTCTTTCGCTTGGTGAAGGGACACACTCTTGTATATCGCAGAATATGTTTCAAAATTCTAAACTCATCTCTTCTGGTATTTTGGTAAATCTCCTTTTGCCCGCATCTTGCTGTTGAAGAGTAGTTTTTACACAGCTCTCGTTCTACTACAATACTCCTTTTGAAGGAGACATCTCAGACTCTCTCGCTCACCAATCGTCAACTCAGTCGTCATCCCACAAATGCCAGCTACTGCTAGGCCTCACATCAAGCACCGACCTCCTCTTCTTCCGCGGCCCCGCAACTTCACGGCCGTTACTCAAGAAGAACTCCTCCGTCTCGCACCCGGGTATCTGCCTCACCATCCCCAGCCCAGCAAGGTCCGTCTTTGTGCACTTCATCCTCAAATGCCGGAAATACTTGCGATAGAACATCCTCTGCATGACCAGGTTATCGGCCACGTTCTTGGGCAGATAGTCTCCAAGCTGCGTTCGTAACGCCTCGAGCGCCGTGCGCTGGTTAATCGCATCGGGGGGCTCGTAGTCGTTGCTCAAAAGCAGCCGCGGAACGTCGCGGTAGAATGCGTTCTTGGCTGGGATGCCGCTGGTGAGGTAGCCCTCGTGAATCATCCACACCGGGAACCGGGCCGCCGCGCGATCGTCCATCAGCTGGATCGCTTCCGTGTAGGACTCCAAGTTTGCCAAGCTCTCTGCAAGCGGCGCACACCCCGGAACGGGCGTTAGGTCCCACGTCTCCGGCCCGCCCCTGTCGCGGGTGCCGAAATGCCGGATCCCTACGCCGAGCGGGTCGAACGCGAGGCAGTCGCTCAGAAAGATGTCGAGGGGTATCTCGCTGCTCCAGGGGAACGTAAAGATGACGGTGTCAAAGTCCGGATTGATGATGACGGGCCAGGCGATCTTGTTGGTTGGGTGCATCGGCAGCTGAACGCGGTAGAATGCGCGTGTCTCAGCGCGGCATTCCCTATTTACCCACATCAGGGCCGGGAGCGTGTTGTCTGCGCTCCATGCGATGTTGGAAGCGAGATTTCCGAGTGCGTTTGGAGCGAAATGGATCTTTTTCAAGTCATTCATGCATCGAATTTCTACGATGCGCGGCCGTTCGAGGTAGAATCGTAGGATCTTGGACCGAAGCTCCGGTGGTAGGCGGGCGAAGGGATGGAATGCAGTGAGGGGTCCAGGGGTCTCGGCAGAGCAGCAGGGGGCCACTTGCTGGGTTACGGGAAGCTCAAAGGAAATCTGCGATGGCGCCGCTGTCGGCGGTGGACCAGGAGGAGGGTGTGTGATTGTCCAAGGACCATACGGGACCCCGGACCGGAACTGGAACCGGTCCTCGGGCTTGACTGGCGTCGGGGGCCGATGGAGGTCAACATGACGGCGCTGTCCGCACGTGGGACACGGCGCTGAGGACGACGGGAAGTTTCCGATGGAAGCACCGACACTCACACTGAGCGAAGTGGACGATGATGACGACGAGCTCGAGGGGACGGTAGTGGTCTGAGCGGTGGTTGATGTCGCGGGCGAGTGCGAGGCGGAGGTGGCAGTGGTTGAGGAGGAGAGGCCGGAGTCCGTTACGGCATCTGGCTCACTCGGGTGCGCAAGCATTCCGGAGTGCCGTAGCGTGCGACTCTGGCTGCTGCGAACATTGTGGCGGTTGTGGTTGCGTGTTGCGGTTTGGGTGCCTCTTTCAACGCTTTGGTCCGTCTCGCCTCCTCCTCCGCCTCTGGTTGCTGGTGGCGGCGGTACTGCTGATGTTGCTGCTGCTGCTGCTGCTGCTCGCGGCGAATCCTTGCGAGGCCGGATACGAACAGAGAGACCCTTCAGCCAAATCTTCTTCCATTTCTTTTTCAGTTGCTGCTGCTGGTCACCGTCCTGGTTCTGGTCCTTGGTCCGGGGCTGGGATGTGACTCCGTTCAAGTTGCTGTTTGCGTCGGGCGCCATGGCGGGGTGAGTCGGGCGTGGAGCCCTCTTCCCGGTTGAAGCGTCCTCTCTTCGGTGTTCCCTCGTATTCCCGAACTGCCAATGATGACCCTCTTTTGGTGCTGTGAGAACTGCGATAAAGCGAAATAGCTTCGCCGGTGAGGAATCAAGGTTCTGCCTTTCAGTAACCCGTTGAGAATCCAGATGGTGAATGCAAGAGTCGCTTCTCATGTGCTGTGCTGATACTGCCGATGGCTGTTGTGAGGCTAGATGAGAGAAGTGGGGTTCCTCTGGGTAAGTTGAGGGGGAAGAAGAGCTAGAAAGCGAGAATCGGGCGGTAAAAGGATGATGGGGAGGAGACGCGGTAGTAGTGCAGGTGGGAGACGCGGGGGAGGAGGACATGTTGGTCAAGTTAGAGTTCATCCATGGGCCACGGCCGCGTCTGGAAACGTCAATGTTCAGTCACGTCGTAAGGTGGTGTCGGTGTGTAGCCGATGTGTTGTGGTGGTCAATGGTCGTCTTCGGAAGAGCTCGCTCGCACGCTCTCAGGCACAGAACATGTTCATCGGTTCAGGAACTCAACAGCTTCAGTGCTCACGGCTCAGCTCACAGGAATGTGCCGAGCGGTTTACGAAAAGTCAGGCTGACGGGTATGTGACAGAAGAACCAGGCAGGATTCGAAGAAGGAAGACAGGCACAGGCACAGCAAGGAATTGGCTTTGCGACATGCAGGCATGACCGTCCGAGATGCGGTGCTATCACTGCAGTACTGGTTCGTTCTGTGGCCTATTCCCACGTTGTGGTTCCTTGGCCTGACGGTTGTTTGGTTGCAGACCGTGTCCAGCTGAGGGGGAACGCGCACTGAGACAAGCTTTTGTTGGAAACGGAGAAGGGGGATGTTTGGGACTGCAACCAACCAGAGACGCAGTCAGCTCTTTGCAGTCAGCTCTTCCAAGTTCCCAGCCTCCCTCGCCTTGATTATTGATGACAAGTCAAGGCTTGAGTTAATCCATCAACTAGCTATCAGTTCACCTGTCAGCCTGCCAAGTCTTGCTAGTACACTCTAGTCAAACGAAGCCCCCTTTGCATAGCGTCCTGCATCTGCCACTGACTGCTGTTTCCATTGGATTTCCCTATCACCTGAGCGTCTCCAGAGAAATCGAGAGAGTACGGACCATCTGTGCCCGATCTCAACCTTGGAACGCCGTTGCAGCGCCCGCCTGGACCTCCCACGTGCTGAAACGTGCAAAGGGGGCGGATGCGACGTTTGGCCGGAAGAATGGCGCCGATGCCTACATGTTTTTTTGCCTCAATACCTTGCGGCGTCGAGGATTATATATATGTACTGGTGTCTGTACATAAAATGGATAAATGGCCATGTGCACGCTTGGAGCGCCGACCGATGTGTACACGCATCTTGAGAGCAGCATCTCACCAGCATGAACAGGATCAGATAACCGAATCCCAGAATGACTCTGAAGGGGTATAATCTGGGGCGATGCCGTCAAAGAACGTGAACTTCTCGTCTTCTTGCCATCGTCTCCTTGCCGGATCGAGCCCCGAGCGATCGGGCACACGGGCCCGTGTGGATCCCGACCGCTGCACCCGGAAGTGGGCCCAGGCCGGAGCCGATCACCGCCATGACCCGGAGTTGTTTGGCAGAGGACGAGCAACTTCCGCACCGAGCTGGAAGGAGTTTTAGTTAAAGAAATTCAGATGGGGTTCAGGATGATGAGTGGTTCTCAATGTCAAAGTAGTTCCTCTCCACCATAACCGGTCTGGAATAGGAATTGACGAGCAGTCAGTTTATCACTTATGATTGAAGCCCCAGACAAAAGATACAAATTCACAGAAGAGGGCAAAGTTTTTTATGTGGCGAAACACACGCTTTATTATCTATATCGTCAAATCGTTTGTCAAAGATCCATCCATAGCCGAGCAGAGAGATCCGAAGATACTCCCAAAAACCGCTAGGCCACTATCGAAGAAAACCACTACTCCTACCACAAACCACCACTGATAACCATTAACAGACCCATGGTAGAGTCAAGAGAAGAGAATGTCCATCCATGCTGAGGCAAGTCCCTTACAGAAGAACAGCGGCAGCAAGAACGCTGAAGGCAAGAGCGCCGAAGCTGGCAGCGAACTTGCTGGTGCCGGCCGTGACGACAGGGGGCTTGGCAGTGGCAGTGCCGGAGGGGTTGCCGCCCGCGGGGGGAGCAGCAGAGTTGGCCGGGGGAGCTCCAGCAGGAGGAGCTCCAGCGGGAGGAGCACCAGCGGGGGGAGCACCAGCGGGGGGAGCACCAGCGGGGGGGCTGCCAGCAGGGGGAGCACCAGCGGGGGGGCTGCCAGCAGGGGGAGCACCGGCAGGAGGAGTGCCAGCAGGAGGAGCACCGGCAGGAGGGGTACCAGCGGGAGGAGCACCAGCGGGGGGAGTGCCGGCGGGGGGAGCACCAGCCGGGGGAGCACCAGCGGGAGGAGCGCCGGTGGCAGGGGGGTTGGCGGCGGGCTTGGTCTCGGTGGCCGGGACGTAGGGAGTCTTGGTGACGGGAGGCTGGGGGATGACGATGGTGCTGCAGGTGGTGCCGTCACAGCCAACAGTGGTGACGGGAGGAACGGGGATGACGACCTTGCAGGAGTCGCCGGAGCAAGGAGGCTGGGGAACGGGGCAGGAGCGGTTGCAGCCCTTGACCTCGATGTACTTGTCGTTCTTGTACTCGTACTTCTTGTTGGCATCGGCGTACGGGCAGGACTCGAAGACGCAGGAGTTGTCCTTGCAGACGTACTTCTTGTTGCACTCATCGCCGGAGCAGGACTCGACCTTGCAGACGTTGCCGTAGCAGACAATCTTCTCGGAGTCGAAGTCGGATCCCTTGATGACGTAGTCGCACTTGCCAGAGACACACTTGATCTTGCGGCCGCAGTCGTATCCAGAGCAGACCTCAGGGTGCCATGTGCCATCAACCCAGACGAGACGGCGCTGGCAGTCGTCACCGTAGCAGGGGTAGTCGTAGCCGCAGTAGTCGCCGTAGGAGACGATCTTCTTGTAGCAGTCATCACCGTAGCAGGGAACGCCGAAGCACTTGCCGTTGGAGCACGGGTTGGGAGTGGGCTTGTAGCAGAAGGGACCCTGGCAGTCCTGGCACAGAGGGCAGTAGGTGGTGGTGACAGTGGTGACGCCGGTGGAAGCAGTACCGTCGATGGTGGCAGTGGTGGTGGCAGTGAAGGTGGTGGTGACGGTGGCAGTGGTGGTGACATCGATACCGCCATCAACACGGATGTAGATGGTCAACAGGATCTCGGCAGAGATGAGCTGGCGCTTCAGGGATCCGCTGGTGTTGCGGCCACCACAACGCTCGCCAGAGTTGCCAGGGCAAGCGATGTTGCATCTGTCCTCAGAGACACGGGTGGCAGTGGCATCGCTGACGATGTCACCGCAGAAGCAGTCAGAGCCGAACAGACCGGCGTAGCGCTTTCCAGCGGGGCAGGAAGCGGTGCAAAGCTCGAGGGTCATGGAAGAGGCAGACAGGACCAGGTCGAAGGTAGGGAAACCAGTGGTGGAGCCGAAGCAGCCAAGCAGAGAGAAGTTGCCAACGTTGCTGGGGTTGGGGATGACCGTGGCAGACGGGGTGGCAGACGACGAGGTCGAGCTGGTCTCGGTGCCAGTGGCGGACGACGAAGTCGAGCTGGTCTCGGTGCCAGTGGCGGTAGCGGATGTGTCAGTCGTAGTCGACTCATCGGTGGTGGTGGGAACCTCAGTGCTGCTGGTGATGTCAATGGTCGTGACCTCATCAGAAGTCGTGATGGGGACCTCGGTCGTCACAGTGGTGTCCGAGCCAGTGGAGGTGGTCAGACTGCTGATTGTCGTCTGGCCAGTTGAGGTGGTCTGGATGGTGGTGAGCGACGAGCTGCGAGAGCTGGAGGTCGTGGTGGTGTTGGGGAACAACTGTCCCATAGCCACCTGGCCCATGAGGGCGACGAGAGCCGTGCGACGCATGACTAAGCGAGTGACGAAAGCAAGTAAAAGAATGACTAGACCTCGGGTCGTAAACGAGTGAAACGAGGTAAAGAGAGAGGAAGAGGGGAGCTAAGGATGCGGAGTGTAATGATGATGAGGGTGAGGAGGGAAAGGAAAGTTGGACAGAAGCTGGAGAATCTTGTCTCTCTTATACCTTCTGGAAACTCCCTTTCCTTCGCTCATGACGGGCAAAGATGCATCTCATCGCAAACGATGTCTCTGGCGCCTCTCTGACAGCTCTGCTCTCTCCCTTGCCATGGGGCATTGTCTCCTGAGTGACAAGATGAGTTTGCATGCCTTGGGCCAACACAGAGTTTCCTACAGCAAGCGCCACCAAACCCAGTCTCCGTGTCTTGTTTCTCCCATTCTTCCGCTATCGTGTCTCGTTCCTCGTCGTTCGTGTTGAGTTTAGTCAGGAGGTCAGGAATGGATCACCTCGGTCAGGAACTCATCAGTTGGCAATGTCTCACCTTCTCCGCAATCCAACGAGGGAGACCGCCTCAACAAGGGACCAATCAATAGGTCCGGCGGAGGAAGGAAAAAAAAAACAAAATCCAACGTCGCTAAAACTCAATAAGCGTGCATTCCCGTCCGCTAAGCTTGGAAATTGGGTCTTGTTCGTGGCGTTCCGCCCGGCGCCCTCCCGAGCTTTCTCGTTGACGACAATGAACATTTTCGGTATCCCTGGGCCAGATCTTACCACCTGGAATCTGTCAAATTGCCCATGTCCATTCTCAGTCTCGGGCACCCGACCTTCTTTCGCCGCCCCGGCCCCGCCCCGGCGTCTCTAGTCATGTCCCCAAAATCGATATGGCCCTGTCTATCACCATGCGGCTCTCGATCTTCCGATCCATTGGTACCAACCGCCGGTCAGCGAGTCATACATTGGAGTTTGATGGTCTCGGCCCGTTGAGTGCATCAAGTGGAGACGGAGCCCGCAGCGGCAAAATGCACGATATCATCCCTCGCTGGCGCATTCTTTCTTATTCTCTGCGCTAAATGGAGACAGCGAGGGAACATGACGGCATTAGTTCTCCCCAAACAGACTTAAACTTACGAGATGAGAGAAGTCTCTTGTTGTCCTTGCATAAGCGAGCCATTCTAAAGGCTGGTTGCCCTCGTGACTACCCCACACTCTGTCCCTCGTTGAGCCAACCTTAGATTCCGGATGCAGGCCATTAAATGTATGGATAATTGTGAAAAGCGGAAGTGACATATTTGAAATTCCAGGAAAGCCCATTTTACTCGTATCCATTGTTAATCTCCAGTGTTTGCAATGGATTGTGGATGCCTTGACATCCACATTGTCGGCATCTCAACGTATGCAAGGCATAAGACAAGAATAGCTTCAGGCCCTGGACGAATGGAGTATGCTCGAGTCAACTCCTCGTACACAAGAGGGAGTATCTTTGCATCATGATTTGATCGCCGCGAAACATCGGTGAAGAGCGAAAGCTTGACGGTCGACGTCCAGACCTTTTGATGCATGCACTTGGCACTTGGCACTTGGCACTTACAAACCCGAGACCGGCCTGGAGGGCAACGTCCCACTCAAATACAGGATTCCTATCAAAGGTGCAAGTCCAGGAATTGTTTGCTGGTGGCTGGAAGGTCGTCAGGTCGAATATGAAAGGCCAATGAAGTGGTCATAGTGTTTCCTTTGCTCCTTGCTTTCCTCGACTCAAGTCAGTTTCTTATTTCCCTTGGGGTAGACCTGAACCCTTCAACGATCTTATGTCAGATAGAGAAGTCATACGAAAGAGTCAACCCGAGTTTACGGGACTTGCATTACTATCATAGAACCGATATCATTGCTGAAAATTCTTGGCAAATAGTGCACGTGGGTGTTGGCTTAAAGAAGAAATACTAAGGCGCAGAAAGCCTGAGCTCACTGGTCCCTATTCTTCGTCATGACATTAAATATAATCAATCGGTTACGATGAATTGTTGTAAGATACATCGGTTTAGAGAACGCCGGGCTTCTACTCGGGCATATATGAGAGCATCCAGCCTTCAGGTGCGCTCGTTGCCCGCATAAAATGGACTTATATGAAACTCTAAGCTCTCATACGTGTGCAAAGTACATATTAGCAGTCACATGAATAAAGCTGTAGGTTAGGACGAAGCGATGAGACGGAATATTTTGGAAACCTGAGTATTTTTTGGTGATATGAAGAATAACGCTTACCTAGCAGGGCCTTGTACCACGTGTACACATGGCCATTGTGCGAAACAAAATGGAGACAGCTTTTTCTAATGCGTCATTTTGTATGGCAATCCAACACTTTCGTATGTGACTACATGCACCTATTGAAAACTGAGGTCATTCAGCCCTGTTAGTAAGGCCATAATCATAAAGGCTTCTGCTGGCATCCGACCATGAAGTCAATTGTGGAGGATCGAATATAGTGAGAGTGCTCTCTTAACTAATTTTAGATACCGATCAAGCTTGAACGAAAAGGAATTTAGTTAGAATAGCTGTTATCTTTAGAAGGCGGCCTAATTGTACAGAAATTGAACCATCATTTTCTTTCCTTGTAGACGTGTGTCTTACAAGTAATAATAGCCATAATCTATATTATCAAAGTCGTTGGTTTGAAACAGAAGGAAGTCATTTCCAAGTATATCCCAATATGTTCAACATAGATAATAGGAGCACCCATGTATGTGGGTCAGACGTTTTGATAGGCTTCTGAAATGTTGTAAACATACTGTCCTTTCAATATTCGAGAGTTTTCTTGTTGTGAGAAGCTTCTGACGAATGTCAGAGTTGGGGCCCTCTCATACATCGAGTCGAATAAGTCTTGGTACGAGGCCGATTTCTATATCAAATCCATGTTGGTCATCGTCAGTAGAGTAGGCAGATCCATGAGTCACTTATCACGGCCTGAAGTGATCCGAGATTGCGGAGAAACGTCATGGCTTCTTGATACAAAAGTTCAAAGCATAGTTACTTCTCAAAGGGCGTCTGTTGGAAAACCTGTGCCCGGGTATCGCCGGGCTGAAAAGATGATACTTTCAACCTTTGAACATAACCCCAGTATAAGATCGGCTACTTCCCCTTTCATCGATGAAATGAGGCATAGTGAGTGGTATTTTAATTATCACGGCTTGATCTTTGCATCGACCTGAACAGCCTTAAAATGAGTTCATGATCTGAATAATGTTTATTTGATGCATCAAGCATATTCTGGTTGTTCAGTCGTTCCTTAATATTGGAGATAAACGCGCACAAGTTTTCAATTTACACAATCATGATAAAATGAAGATCAATGTTGATCGTCGAGATGATAAAAAAAAAAAATTCGGTAGTGACAACAGCTCGCTATCCTTATTCACCCCCTGATACTTCGATCCTGTACACGCCTTCGCAACGTGTATCTCTCGACACTTACCAAGACTCAAAGTCACGTGCACTGCCTAATTTGATACATGTCGTCCGCGGAGCTCTGGGCTGATTGTCCGCCTCGTCCCTCCCTTGCTTTTAGCCGAAGCCACCACCACATGCAAAAGGATGCCTGAGGAATCACCGGGATTCAAGGGAGACACCTAGTCTCGACATAAATAACCACTCTCGTCCCCCAAAACACCTCAATTCAAGGTATGGTTACTCAATGTGCCCTCACGGCTCTGGTGGTCCAGACGACTGCGAAATATGCCCTGTCCATTGATGTCAGATCGACGTTTGGGTCCTTGAGAGTCTTGATATCATTTGAACATTTCAGCACCATTCGGTGTTCCAGTACTGCTCCAGCCAGACCATCTCCGAGGTTATCGCCCATGCAGCGATCATTTCGGCTTCCATTGAGCCACTCAAAGATTTGCGGAAGGATCTCGCATCTGAAGCTCGAAGTGGCGTTCACCGACGTCGGGGTAAACAGCATGTCTAATGTTGTTGGACTGCGATACCAATCGTATTGAGACAAACAGCTGTAAGTTTCGACATCCCGGCCCAGCCCACTAGGCCGAATGCTTTCCAAACTTTTCACAGCAAGATTCATGCGGCCTCAGTGGAATTTTGCATCTATCGCCTGGTCCATGCTGGGAGAGAGAGTTCCGTGACCAATCGGTGTCGCCTGGGGGCGGCTTTTGCGACTTGACGGGCTTTCTTGAGTCTTGACCTCCACTGCACAGAGAAATAGGTCGATGAGCCATCAGTAACTCCTGGTATATTGACAAACGAGAGTCGGCACTTCCTATGATATTGTGAAGAAACTCCGTAAAGTGCGGCTTTTATCATCCAATATTTCATTGACATACTGTCGTTTTTGGAAAGAATTTCTAAACAATTCATCATGGGCGAATCCTCCTCTTCAGTCAGAGACTCTTAGTATGTCGTCATCATTGATCGATGAAGAAATCTTGAAGTGTTGAAAGACTGTCCTGCTATGGAAATAACATATCGTACCTACTAACTCAGCGCAACAGAAAGACTAAGGGTTAAACAATTAAACTATTTCAGTGGCGAGCTCACCGCAGCACAACCTTGAAATGTGAAGTTTAATGCTCTTTCTTTGAACCGATTCTAACCCGAGTCCCGTAGTATATTCAGACTCAGCCGACAACACAATAAACATTGATTGCTTCATTTTTAACTTCTACTTATATGTCTCCGCGTAAAGTGCGCGTAAAGTGCTTAGTAGCTTAAATGATTTGTGAAACAGCTACTCGTCGTTGCTTCATATTTCCCGATAGCAACTAGTTGTGGCTTTCCCATGGTCCCGAATATTTAAATAAGCATTGGAAGCTTGAGGTAACTTCACTCTTCTTCAATCTCAATAGCGGAACTTCCAAGATGTGTTACTGCAATATGCAAAGGGAACAAGAGAGACCAGGCAGGAGGCATGACGGAAAAAAAAGTCCAATTGTCAAGTTTGACCACGGGACGATTTCAACCGTCTTCATGCCTGGTGCCTGGTGCCTGGTGCCTGAGTTCTCGGAAATGGTGTGGATTTCCCATTCCCAAGCTCGAGGCAAGG